AAAAGAAGTTTCCGGGAGAAGAAAAAAAAAAAATTTTTTTTCAGTTAGAACTGAAAAAAATCTTTGCCTCCTTAATATCGTTTAAAAGTATTTTTTGAGCTGCAGGAGCAAGCACACTCTCGCAAATACTTGTATATTTTGTTTTACCACAAGATCGTTACCACAAGATCTACCACATTTTCCGTTAAAGTTGTCTCTCTTCATAAGCTAAACAAATTGAGTTAACCATTTGTCTTGAAACGACGTCGAATATTTTGTCTTTTTTTGTGGTACTTGTTTACTTGCAGAATCAGAATCGTTGTTTTTCGCTAGACAATATTATGAAAGCATTTAAATAATTCAAAAATACGCACTTGTTTGAAAGAAGAGATTGAAAATGAGAGGGTGAGGGGAGATGAAGGCGCACGCGCCTCACCGCTCAACCGTAGATTGCTGCTGCAAAAAGAAATGCATTGACATTGACGTTCTTTAACTGCTGCGCGTGGTTGTGTGATTTTCGATGTTCTCAACCATTTCGTCCGTGCACATTGTGTCGCTATTTTCGAGAAACTTGATATTCCGGGAGAGTAATATTTATTTTAAATTCCTTCCGGGAGCCGGGAGATTTTAATTTTCAGGAATCAATTCCGGGAGAATCCCGGAATTTCGGGGGAGGTGGGAACCCTACTTCCAGGTTCTCATGTTCGGGTGAATGACAAGGTTATTCCAGAATACGATGGATCTAGATACCATTCTTTCTTCACAGCACTAGAAACATGCATGCATTTATTCAGATTCTTCATTATTTAATTTTTTAAAATATAATACAGGACGATAAAATTTGATGGCAATAATCTGAAAAGTGAAACGCCGTTGATAATGATTCAGCGCAAAATGTCGTTTCGAGACTATTACTCCTATCGGGAGTAAGGTCCATTTTGGGCTAACAATTGCATAATAAAATGTACTGATTTGGGAAGTAACTATTATTGTTAGGCGCAGTTAGTTTGAATTTAATAATCACTACTAATCTTTAAGACTTTTTAATTATTTGTATGTATGTGCTGTTATGATTAAAACATTATAATTCGTTTGAGAAATTCTATTTTTCGTTTTCTTCTTCATCGTCGCATTTGGTAAGTAAATTTATGTACCCCGCATTGAGAGTGTAAATTCTTCTACATCATTGTAATGATTTTGATTATATTAATTAATTATTTTGATAAAAAGCGCAGTTACGGTTTTTCTGTTGTTACTATATAACTGCAAAAATGATGTGAAAGATATACTTCATTCGAAAATAAACAGTAAGGAAATGGGAATAAGTTAAAAAAATCAAAAATTCGTGGTACTTCGTTCATTAGAAAAGTTACAAATATTTATTTGTATGCAGTACTAATCTATATGAATAATAATTAAATTAGTGCATTTAATCTTTTTATGGTTACTAAAAACTCGGCTCCTTTTATACGCATTTAAATTTATAAATATTGGTAAGCCTAGGTAATGTTATAAATATATCTACCTATATTTACTGCAGTTCAATAAACGTGTATTTGTTGCTCATTCAATAAAATACTAGCGAAATTTGGCTTGAAACCATCACAGATTGAATTTTCTCAAAATACCAAGAAATCATAGCATTCATTTTGTTGCCAATTCAAGAATGCTCAATTCTTAAACTCCAGAACTATAAAAAAACTATTAAAAATAAAAACAAACAAACAACCCCCCCCCCAAAAAAAAGAATCTGAAAGAGTTCAGATTTTAACGGTCTCCGGAAAAGATTTGTTAAGGTTTGCTACGCTCTGGCTCACGTTTTTCGCACTCTACCCAGTCTGCTGTTGCATTCCACCCTCCTAGCTTTCTTATAAGTACCATTTTCTTCTAACTTAAGCCATATAAGATTCAACAGCAAAATTACAAAAAAATTAACAGCAGCATAGCAGCATATATTTAGAATTCCTGATGCAGTGTTAAGTATTGGCATACGGTTTTCTATTTTTTTCAGTCTTTTCTCAGTTCATCATATCAAATTTCAATTTTCTTACTAAGATGGCTTGCAAAACATTTTTTGGGGTCTTTTTATAAGAGAAAACTTTATTTATTAGATATTACGTTCTTCGCACTTGCATGATATAACTCAACAAAATGAAAAAATACAGTGCTGGCCATTAAAATTACAACACCGTGAAGGAAAGCAAATACAAAAAGGTATTTATTGCACGGAAACATTATAGCATGAAGACAAAATGATTAAATTTATAGGCATTTTGGCAGTTTATAGGGGTGAGAAATTAGTAGAAACAGCTGTCAGTCCTGGGAGGTAAAACGACCCTACGCCATTAGGCATGGAGTCAAACTGCGCTTAGATGATACAAATGGGCAACTCATTCCATGCTGTTTCAAGTCTATGCCGTATTAACTGGAGAGGGGCTGCCGGCCAGTCCTTTAGTAACCCATGACCAGATGTTTTCAATAAGTGAAAAATCTAGAGATCGTGAAGGCTAGGGCAGCAGTCGAATACCCTGTGTATCGAGAAAGGTCAGAACACGACGTGCAACATGTGCTCTTGCATTATCTTGTTGGAAGATGGCGTTTGGCAGGCCTCAAAGATAGGGCACAAGCAGTGGACGTAAGATGTCGGAAATGTACCCATCTGCGTTCAAATTACCTTCGATTTGAACTAGAGATATGCGTGTCGTGTACTCAATGGTTGCCCAAACGATCACACCAAGTGCGGGGGCCCTATGCCGATATCGAATGCAAGTAGGCGATGTGCAGTGTTAATGGAGCTTCCAGACACGTATACGGTCTTAGAATATTGCACGCAGAACCGGGACTCGTCTGAAAAGACGACATTGTTCCACTCCAATATCCAGCTCTGTCGTTCGGCGCGCTTAGAGTCGCTGTCTCTCTCTACACTGCATTGTCAAGGGAGCTAAGTAATATTCACCCTTCTGATAGTCCACGCTGCTGCAAACGTCGAAGCAGCTTACTGATAGTGGGCGTTCTGCAAACATGCCCATTTCCTGACTAATAGTCCGTCATGTACTCGGACGGTTTTGTGAGCTGACCTCACAATATGTGTGTCCTGTCTGGCTTTAAACATGGGAAGGCTTTGAGATCCTGCATAGCGTTAAGTATGGCCGTCAGCAATCCATTGATTCCATATTCATATAACAGTGGTTGGATATCGAGCAGTGCGACAGGCGATATCACGGAACTATAATCTACACTTTCGATAGGCAACAGTCCTGCCTCTATCGAATTTCGAAACTTGTTGGTAAGCATTTCCTCTTCTTTTTCGATGCATAATACGATATTCTGAAGAAACCTCCGACATTACAATATGCTTTGAGAATGAGAAATCCCACTACACAAATTTTCTTTTATGCAGTGCTTTATATGTCGTTTCTCCCTCTTGCGCCGTCTAAATGCTCTGAAATACTAATCATTTGCATATCGCAGCCTCTTCTTCCTTTCGTGTGATTTTGAAGTTCGTCAGATCATTCCTTCGTGGTGTTTCAATTTTAATGGCCAGCAGTGTATTTCTGAGCAGAATATCTGTAGAATTTCCGACAGACAGTCTCTCGTGTTAGAGATAAAAATATTTTATTACGTGCAGAATTGCCACTTCTCACTTTCATATCATTGAGTTTTTTAATCAAAAATTAATTAAATTTTTACCAAATGTAAAATATAAAATTCAAAATTGAAAATTCTGGCTTCCAGGTGCGCATATTTGGGTGGAGCATAGCACCAACGTTATTGAAAATTATTATGGCACTAGGTACCGTAGGGTTTTCATTATGTGAGGAACAAACATACATTCATGTAAAGTCTTCATTATTTAATTTCTTTAAAGATAATACAGGATGATAGTATTTAGTAGCAACAATTTGAAAAGTGATTCGCCTTTATAGTGGACGACTCAGAATCTCTTTTCGATAGTAATAGTCCATTAGGAATAACGTCCCTTCAGGCTAAAAATAACTGATTATATTAAATGCAAGTGTAAAATATATTATAAAATTTTGATTAACTAAATTAAATAGTGCTCGAACCATTTTATCCAGTTTCTTACCAGAAAAAAATTGCGTAAAGTATGTATGAAGTAACTAAAACATATTCTCCAGGTTTTCACATAAAAGTTCTCGTTTGGAGTATTGGAATTTTCAAACATGTTTAAGAAGTATCAACACAAGCAACGGATTCATTTTAAAAGAATAAACTCGTACGAATACACACAGACAATAAAAAGTGTACCAGCTTCATCATATTGGTGCTTATAATGCTTTTAATTTAAGCATTATGACTCGACAGGGAATCGTTTAGGAGAAGGAATATGCAATAATATATGAATTAGAATATCATTTTGTGAATTTAATTATACTTTAATAAATTTGATGAGTTTTGAACATGGAGGACTAGACAGCTAAGTAACGCGGAAACAAAATATAATTGAATGAATTGAACATTTTTGTCTGAATCGTTATAATTTCCATGTGTTCGAATGCTGAAGATTTTAAATTTTATGCAATAAATCAGTAATAGGTAAAAGAATGTTAGAGCATTGCCTTTTTGATGAATTGTTTAAGCCTTTTTGTTTTACGTTTCTAAATTGCGTGGCATGTGTATGACTTGGTTGTATTTGTCTTTATAAATTGTTGCTTTAAAGGCTATAAATATGACGTGATTGGAGGATTTGGGGAGTCTTATCAAGTACAATTTTAATGCTATTTTTCCATCGATATTTAAATGATAAAGTATGTGGAAAATAAAATATTTTAGAATGCAACCTATAAATGTTATAATTAAGTAGCATATGCAAATGAAAAAAAACTGACATTATTTCTTAGTTTTAGATATCTTTTATGAATGTTTCGGTTTAAAATTAGAAGTGTTTAAGAAAATACCATTGTTGTGATTACAATGATAACCTTAATGCTTATTGTGCGAAATGCTACAATTGAATGCGATAATAATATAAAGTGACATAAAGTGAACTTTCCACTTACTGCAGATATAGCTTCTCACTACAGTCATTCTGTTGGTGGTAAGTGTTCCAGTTTTATCGGAACAAATGGCAGTAGCATTGCCCATCGTCTCACAGGCGTCAAGATGTCGCACCAAATTATTATCTTTCATCATTTTCTGGAATACAAAAAAATGTGCTGTTAAGATTCTGTTACCAAGAAATTATCAGAAATACACAATCAGAAAAGCGAGTGCAGTTTAAATTCACCACAGCTTGCAATGGAATTGTCATAACTCTAGTTAAATTATAAAAAGGTTTTATAGAAAAAATTTCTATAATTCCTTTTTACTTTACTTAAATTCATATTTATACACGACATAGTTTGCCGACAAACAAGAACTAAGCAAACATATTTACAGGTGATAGGTGAAGAAAGACGGGGTATTTCCCCCGTCTTCCACTCTCTGCAGATAGGCAGCACATCCCGTTTAGTCCCTAAGGATGCTCTATCAGAAGTATATTAACAACATATTCATACATAAGTATGCACGTAGCAGAGGTTCTGCTCTTGTGTAATAGATTTGTGTTTACAGGGTAATGTCCAATATTAAACGTATGACACTAAGACATATATATATATATATATACAATGTATACAGTACATAACATATAATAAAATTAAAATATAACTAAATAAACATAACAACATAACTAAATAAAGTACTTGGATGATTAAATTAAACATAAATTAATTTATGTCAAATAACAACAATAGCAAAAATGTAAAACAAGAAAAATCAGCTTTACACTTGCAAATTTTCCAGGACTAGTTACGATAGTTTTATTGAACCATCATTTTCAGCTGTCAAAGTGCAGATGAATTTAGCACTTATTTGCACTTTCGCAGCTGAAGATGATGGTTCGGTCAAACCGTCGAAACTAGTCCTGGAAAATTTGCAAATGTAACTCTGGTTTTTGTTGTTTGACTTCTAAATTAATCTTTGTTCGGCGTGTAATTTTAACCTAACTTAAAACATAACTTAATTAAACAATAAAAGTATACACAAATGATGAGTTTACGATCACTCAAATTAAAAAGTATTTTAAGTGTTTAGATTAAATACAAATCCATTTAAAGTCTTCAGTGGAAACAGCTCTTTCATTTATACTAAATAATATACATAATTACGTTTTAAAGTGCGCATGCTATAATTATTATAACCTAAGGTAAAATTTTAATTTCTGTGTTTAATAGTTAAATGGCAGTTCTTAGAATTTGTTTTAAAGTTCTTTGGGTAGAGCACCTGTTCTTTTGAAATTATCACGTCTGAACTTCATTGGCATCTTCATTCTGTTTGACAAATATTTCGCTCCATAGCTGAAATAGCGTTGATTGTATTGCTGATGTTCTTAATTGATGCACAGTTTTTGATAATAATTTCTTAAAAGTGTCTCTATTGCTAGTCAATTGAGGTAAATGAGTGGCAGCTGTAAGTGGACAGTAAATGTCATAATATGCTTTAAAATCCATAGACACATGTAATTCTATTTGAGATACAAGTGCGATGAAAATAAGTTGGAAAGGGTACATGTCTTATAATAATTAGTTGTGAGATGGCTATGTGTTTATTTGTGATGACTTTAGGAGTGAAACTATATGTGTAGCAATTTTTCTTAGATCCCATTTTATTTGCTACTGTTGTATTGCTCTTTCTTGTAGAATTCTTTTAGGTGGGAGGAATGAACCAGGATATTTAGCTCCTTTGCTTCATAATTATTGTTTGCTTCTTTAGCTTCCTAGTTTACAGATATGTTACCGTTTTTTGAAATGAATGAACTGAATGCGTAGTCTTTAGGGTTTTTTTGAAGCAGGAAACGTGAAAGATGTGCAGTGTCCTTGCCGGGATTCGAATTCCTGACCTTACGATTGCCAGCCGGACAAGCTTTCAGTTATACGCTGTACGGAGGGAGGAAAACCTTACATCTTATGCATTCGAGTTTATACTTAATGATAATCAGTGCATGAAAATGTAGATCATTCTTCCAAAAAGTAAATGGCAAAAACCAATCGAAAAGTAAATGGCAAAAACCAATCAAAAAGTAAATGGCAAAAACCAATCTTCTTTCGGCATTACTTCTAAAAAAATGAATAAACTCAAGGTAAAAAATAATAAAACAAAAATAGGTAACACGTGCAATTCAGAAAATTCAAATAACTCAGAGAAAATTTCGAGAGTAATGTTGCTACAAATAACCTTCAATATATGCTACGACGAACTTCTTAGTCTGTAACAGCAGAAATAAAACTTTTACAAAAAAAAAAAAAAAAGAATTTTTTTTTGTAATATGGTACTATTAACAGAGAACATAAAGTAATATCCGAAATATACTGATGTTCAAAAGAAAATTTTCACATTTGGGTGGATTACTTTAAAAGTTATATTTTGGTAGAGACATTTTAATGGAATATTGATTGATAAAATACAAAAATGTATCCCACATACACATAAATGATCGTGTGTAATTCTCATCGACGTAGAAAGGTCTGAAACAGAGGTTGCGAAGAAAGGAAGTTTAATAGAAGGTCAGGTACCCTATAGCAATCATACAGCTCTTACAACACGACTTCGTACTGAAACTAAAGCAGTTATGAATCTTTGTGGAAAATGGTCTTATCTTCAATTCTCAAGGTCAATAGGAGGACTAATCTGAATTGCAGTTATCTATGGAGCTTAAGTGTGGAGATCTGGCTGGCCAAACAATTCAGTTAATATCTCATTTTTCATAAAATTATACGCATATTAGCCCGAGGTAGATCAACATTGTTGACCATAAAAAGTAAATGAAGGCCATTTGCTCCCTGTAAAAGCAAACAGGGCTCTACGACCTTTCCCTCGTACCTCTAAGCAGCCGCAGAGTCTCTGTCAAAGACTACTTAAAACTCTGTGCGTTCAGTAGTGCAGTTGGCCCTCATTTCCCTTTTTAAGTACGACAGTACTTGACACAGTGTACGAGTTTCTAAAAAGTGAGGGTATTAGCCGAATGGATTGGTTAGCTAGTTCTCCAGACCTGAATTCCATTACAGAGCATGTCTGGAAGGGCAATTAAACTCATTTTTCTTCTCCCAGAAACTTTTAAGACTTAGAAACAGCGTTGCTGCAATGTCAGCCTAACTTCCACGGGGATTCATTGCCAGCATGAAGTTGAGTTTAAGAACTGTGTGACAGTTAGAGGGGGTACATATGGATTTTTAGTCTTCTTTTTTACTCGATTTTCCAACTTTTGTTTTATATTTTCCTGCGCCAATAAGCTTTACAAACGATCATACTTGTATGCATGTTATACGTTTTTATAATATCAGCCTATATATAAGCCAAATTTAATTAAAATCTATCCTTCAGTTCTGAAAATAATCGACCAAATGTGGAAATTCTCTTAATTTGAAACACTAATGTGAAAGAAATACAACACTGTAATAAGTAAAATAACAAAACAATATTTGGAGTCTACTTATTATTAGAATGCACATGAAATTTCCTGAACTGCACGCATTATATTGGCTTTTAAACTTTCCATAATTTTCTTACCATTCTTATACCTTACACCTATATATATATATGTGTGTAAGAACAATACAAAAAAGACCAATTTTGGTCAAACCATTCTTATACCTTATAGTCTTATACCTATATATTCTTATACCTATACATTCTTATACTATTCTTTAAATAGTCCTCTACTAGAAACAATGCAAGATAATAAAAATTCAAGCAAAAGTTTTGAAAAATCTGGATAGCCGAATTTCCTTGCAAATGAAAATGGTCAACGATTTTATTGCTGACATATCATTCAGTTGATAGATATTATGCAAGCAATTTATTACTGAATTAGAGCTTTCTGATTTTATTAATAATACCTGTTCCCGTTCCCGATTTACTCTACGTAACAAAAATGTTAACATATTTGTTGGTGAACATAAGATTTAAAAATATTCTTTTAAAGGTTTGTATTTTAGGAGTTGATATTTCACCTGCTTTTAATTCCAATATGAGAAATATCAGTTTTCCAAATTAGGGTCGAAGTTTCTAGTAAAAGCACGACAGCAAACACCCATGCATACGTACTGTGACAGTTTTTTAAAGATGAAAGGTTTTACCTTGACGGAATAGGCAAGGGCGAGGGTTACGGCTAGAGGCAGTCCCTCCGGCACGGCGACCACCAGCACCGTGACTCCGATGATGAGGAACTTGACCAACATCTGTGTATGCTCCGCCTTCCATGTATTCTCGTTCACAACAAACGTTGTGATAGCAAACCGGATCATGAGGATTACAACTGTGAACGCTGCTATCGTCGAACCTTTTTAAAGAGAAGCAACATTTAATAATGAGAGAGTTCTTAGAAACAAAGGCTGCACATTAAATCTGATTTCTTTCTTATTAAGCGTATTAAATTTATATATCTTGACCTTATAATTGTGCTCATTTTGAACAGAATAAAATTCTGTTTGGAATTTGTATTGGCAATCTTAAAGATTATTATTATTATTATTATTATTATTATTATTATTATTATTATTATTATTATTATTGTTATTATTACTATCATTAAAATAATTTGATTTTTATTATTATTAAAATAATTAGGTAAATGAGCTGGATCCAAAGTAGTAGCTTCTAGCAAAATTACGTCTTGCTGAGTGATGTTGAAATAAAGAATGATAAGCTGGAATTTATGTTAAAAGATTCAGAAATACTGATTTCTAATTGTGTTACGTTATAGTAGCATATTTATTTTCATTTTTTTTATCACCAGGTGAATAATAATTTACCCATTAAATTATCGACGAGCTGCCGGTAATTTAACTCGCGCAAAAGCATGAAGTTTCCTAACTGAAATCGACTTTAATAAAAAATTACATTACACCATTCAATATTCCCTTTACAAATATTAAGACTATTGCCAGAATTCTAATTTTTTAAATTCTAATTACTATACATCTTATAAGCTAATTTATATGATGTATAGTACCATCGCATGAGCTAAATTATATGATGTGTAGTAGCCATGCTTGAAAAGGTTTTAGAGAAACTACATGAAAGCTGATGATTTATTGCAATTTCTCTTTTTGGTAGGTGATTACAGTGCTGTATATTTTAAAATTATTCAACTGTTGTCTAAGCTGATTTTATCAGTCTGATAGATTTATTTACATGAGCTGATTTTGAATTAACTTTTAAACGGAAGTTTCAGTTTTAATATTAGACCTCCCAGTTTTTGCTATAAACATGAATAATATAAATTCTGTTAAGATTTGTTGAAAAAAAAATATTTTATCTTTCTACTATGTTAAAGAAATTTTCCATTTAGTAAAGATATGTGATTATTATTGTAGGCTACGCAGCCCATATTATGCACTTTCGCTTATTACTATGAACCTATCATTTCTAATTATTTTCTATTTCTACCTGCGTATCCAATTTGAATAGCTAGCTTGGTCAGTTTGGCCTGGAGCACAGATTTTTCTTTGTGGGGATTACTGTCTTCGTTGGCCTTCTTTGGGGGGATAACTTCTTCTTGATGAGGGGCAGTATCATTTGGAATGTTTGCTTCAACTTCTGCAGCTATAATAATAAACAATTAAATAAAAATTTGGAATTATTAAATACTATACTGAAATCATATGTCAAGTACTAACTAAAATAATATGAGTCATTTCATCCTTTTATACATCGGAACTACAAGTTTATCAGCTTAACTAGAAATTTTCGGTCAATTTCTATTTCTCACAATCGTGACATCGCTGAACTGAAATCTTACAGCAAAGATTTTACGACCATGAATTTTTTTGGGTGAAGGGAAAATCACTCTTTGTTGAGTGGAAAGGTGATTGAAGCGAAAAGTTCGGCTTAGCACTAGAGGATATAATATCTTGTTGATTATTTGCAGAAACAAAATTTTATCTAAAATACAATTTAGTTAAAAACATTAAAAGTTTATAGAATACAACATCACATTTCCTTTTAACTCAATCTTGAAAAAGAAGTTAATTTCACTTGATTATATTTAGAATTTTATTATGACAGGGTATTTCTGCTGCCTTCTTAGCATGCCTTCGTGGTGTAACGGTCAGCACGCTCGACGCGAATTCAAGAGGTTCGTGGTTCGTATCCAGGCGAAGGCATTGCTCATTTATCATGACTCCTGCTTAAAAAAAATCGTAATGACTCTACAAGCTAAGCTCTCTCGCTATTTGGAGAAAGCATGTACTTGGATTGAAAGAAAAAGACTTTTTAATCGACCCTAAGCATATACTAGATCTTTACTGCGAACTCCAATTAATTTATTTGTGTGGGATCACCAACTGATCTATCAGTATTTTGAACTCCCGCTCCGTTCAGTTGAGAACACTACGGGAAGACAGTTTTTAAATCATCTGCCTAAATTGTCGAAACAATTCATCAGCAATCCGTTGAGCAGCCATAAGCCCGAGAGCATCATTGATTAATCGTGCTCGAAGCATTGAGAGTAAAAGGTGCTGAATTCATCATTAACATTAAGCGTTTGGGCAACAGTATTCCAATGGTTTAACTTTACCGATCAACAGTACCGTGTACCATCCTAACGCGCCATTTTTGCACATACATTCAATTTACAATCTTTTTAATTTTAGTTCTCTTTGCATTTTTGCCAGATATGTTTTAATCACACTGTATAAAGAAGACATGTTCAGGAAATTTAATTCTGAAAATGAAAGAAGTTAGTTACGAAACAAACCTTTAGGGTTAGGTTTGGCTACTGCGTGTTCTTCATTTTTGGCTGCTCCTAACAATGTGAAGATGATTCCAGCTTGTGAATTCACACCAACTGCAGCAACAAGCATCTTGCCGCTGCCTTCCATTACGTGTGTACCTATTAGAAAAAAAAAAACAGAGTTTTTTATAAGCAGTCAAAGTAATAAGAAAATTTTACTACTGGCAATATTCATAGAATTCATAACTTTTATTTCTACATATAATAAAAAACATATAATAAAATAAAGAATCTGTTTATGTGTGGTTCTTTTGTTCGTGCTGAGCGCAAGCTGCAAGCTAATAGATCCAGGGCTACGAAATATGGTACATAGGTGCATCTAGACAAGAGCCAGTGCACCTCGAAGCGATTTTTTTTAAAAATTTTAATCAGATTTTTTTTATTTCATCTTTTTTGATGAAATCGCATCATTTTGAATACTTTCATTCTTTTAGAAATATAGTTTTGGCAACAGTTTTTCATTCAATGCTTTGTACACTAGACTGCTGATTGTTGAAAATATGAGATAAAAAGCTGTTTATTTTCTTTTGATTTTTGGACACGCACATCGCAATCTTTTTATTCTGACGCGCATGAGTCTCGCGAGGCACAAGAGAAAGATTTTCCTTTCCCCCCTCTCTCTCTCTTTATTAGGTAATGGCAAAGGGGTTTGTATATTTTAATTATGTCATCCACAAAGCACAATTTCAATTGGTTATTGCTTTCTGACAATAGCTTTATTCTTTTAAAAATGTTGGTTTGGCAACATTTTTCATTCATTGCTTTGGATACTGGACTGCTGACTGTTTTCTCTTGAAAATATGAGATTTATTGTCTTATTTCATTATAATTTTTTATATTATGTTTGAATTATAGATAATTTTAATTATATAAAAAGTTTTGCATGATTTGTTTTAAGAAACAAAGTTTTAATTTCTTTTATACCATTTAAATTCTTAAGATTTTGCAACGGGAAGTTGACTAATTTATTTATTAGGATAATTAATATTTGTATTAAGGGATATTGCTTATTTCATTGTAATTTTTTTAATATATGATACATTTTTATTGAATTTTTTTGATAAAGTTGTTCTGCAGAGTAAAATTCTGTGAAGGTTTTAAATTTAATGTTTGGTGTTCCCTTTAGGCATTTTTACGGTACATTTAAAAGCCAGACGAAGGTTGGCCGCCTAGCTGCTAGTTTATCATATTTCAGTAAACTCAGTAAAATTTCAGTTTACTGAAATAGGAATTATATTTTTTTAATAAGAATCTGCAGTTAATACTTTCTTAACAAGAATCGGAAATTTTCTTGTTAACAAAGTGTACTAAAATCGAAAAATTAAGAAAATTTCTGGTAATAATCAATCAAAGAGAAAGAACGAAAAAACAAGAATTTTACTAAGACGGATAAAAACAACCTGCATTATTAATATTTATTTCGTTTTGTATGTGCGTATGCGTATTTCAGCTCAACTCAAACAACGCAGTTTTTAACGTTTTTCAAATACAAATACACATTAAAAATTAAGTTAATTCCTAGATTGCCATTTACCGTTGGCATAGCTGTTTTGTGACTCTAATAAGATATTGCCAAATATATATATATATAAAAAGAGACCGATGCCATTGGTAAAGAAAACGAATCATTTTTGTTTCATTACTTTCTCAAATGTAAGTTCTATATCTCTATTTCTACTGGGCCAATTGGCGAAATTCAAATCGCGCTTTTCATGTCTCGAAAGCGCGACTTAGAATAGGATATATATTAGATTTATATACAGCATTGCTCTAGGATAGGTATTTTGACACAAAATCGGACTTTTTCTGAAATGGCATGCCAATGTTTTTCCATATTTCGATTCTACGACTCAAATTATGCCTAAATATTAAATTTTGAAAAATTTGGTGCGAAATTTACAGATAAATTGAAAAATTTATTTGTACATTTTTTTTTCAGATTGCGCCAAGAGTATTTCACCTGGCGAACTTCTCAATTTATAGCAACCTATTTTCCTTTCCTGTTTTTCATTGTAAACGAGCGGAAAAATTCAAGCCATCGCTCATTATTCCAAATAATTTTAAGAAAGGGCGTAAACCCCATTTGGCGTTATTATTGCTTATAATAAATACGCCAAATTTCGAAACTCACCAATGTCTAATTTTTTGCAGGTGTGCTTAGAAATACATCTACTTTAAGATGATGGTAAAAATTTTGTAGGTTATAGTTTAAAACTGTTTTCGAAAAATTTGTAAAAATTGTTTAAAAATATAAATTTAAAAAATAAATCATAAAAAATAGGCGAATTTTTTTTTTGGAATGAATCTAAATTTCGAATTCTGGAATGAATCAAGAAAGTTTAATAAAAAAGAGATATATACCAGATATAATTAACACTAAGGAGCTAAAATTTTGAGAGCAAATTTTTTAAAAACTGCTTGTGTGATGTTTATAAAACTTAGCAATTTGGCATAATTTGAGTCGTAGAAGCGAAATATGAACAAACATTGGCATGCCATTTCAGAAAAAGTCCGATTTTGTGTCAAAATACCTATATTAGAACACTGCTATATATAAATTTAATACCAATCCTAAGTCGCGCTTTCGAGACATGAAAAGCCCACCAGCGGCCGAGCGGTAAAGTCGCTGAACACTGGTAGTTCGGCGCGAACGGGCTGGCTGCATGGGCGTTTTCGTGGTTTTCCCCATGTGTAAACGTGTATACGAGCCAGTTTTCCTTAGAAAGTCCTCCACGAAGGCATCCCTCCCCTTAGGCAGATAGCTCTCGAGGCTTTGCCATAATGACACACCCACACCCACGAGACATAAAAAACGAAACGCAAATTGAATTTTGACAATCGGCCTAGTAGAATGGGAGATACAGAACTGTCCTATTTTTCTTTTTCCGCTGTGTACAACGGCTCAAATCTGTCATCGGACACTTTTATTTTTGTTATTTGCATAGATCTTGTACTAAATATTGAGATATAGACTTAAGATATTTTCATAATATATTATTTTTTCTCTATTTTAATATTTATTAGTTACAAAATAAAAATCATCAAAATATTCTTTGCAATAAAATAATTTATTCCATAAGGGTAGTTCACATAATATTACTCACATAATAATTCGGATACTCGAAAGTTTTATTAAAATGTTTTGGAAGACGGTGGCTCTTGACTTGCTTTGTTTTTACTTTAAATAAAAGCACGTGACTATCGCCTGCATTTGGAAAATTACTGCTTTAGTGAAGTATATTAACAGTTCCATACCTGAAGTGAACGTGGCTAGATGCTACAATTTAACGACAAGTTCTGTTCGAAACTTAACTATTCACGATTTTATTGACAATATCAGAATATTAAAAAGAAATTCTTCATACAAAACGTATGTATTAAAACGATGGAAATTGCGTCGAACTTTTAAAAAGTCTGGACCACAATACAAGCTAACACGAAGAACTGAAGACTTATCCTATGAAAAGTGAAACAAAATGCAAAAATTAGTGCCGGAAAAACTTGAAACAACGACTTAAAATATAATTTAGCCCTAAAACTGTTCAAAGAGTCATTAGGATACTATGGGTAATGAGCAAGAAGAAAATTCTTCGCTAACAAGAAAACAATGAAAATAAGTTTGGCTAACGCAAAATCCATATTAAACTAAGATTTATTACATTAGAACAAGGTAATATTTGCAGAGAAATCAAAATTCCATACATCGGGTCCGATAAGTGAATTACCTTGTGACAAAAACTGAATGAAGAAGTGCATTTGAAAAACCTTTTATATACTGTTAACCTTTTGAAGACGGGATGGCCATTATAGTGGCCATAGAATCCTCTCTTTGAAAAGACGGGGTTGAACAAAATAAAACATTCTAATGAAAAAAAAAAAATGTTAGTTAAATCCATGTCAAAACTCATGAAAAGTGTAATTCTAGTTAAAAGATATCAAATGAAGATATGGATGTCATATTATTTTCATGTTTTTATGAAAAGTGTTGTTTAATTTAAATTTCCACGTTTCTATTAAAACTTTTTGACTCATAAAGAATATTTCACGCTTGTTTATAGCGTTCGAATACTTATGTAGGTTCCTTTACAGAAAATTTTAAAAAACTTTCTTTTTCAGCCCAGAAGGACGATTAGTCTCGAAATGGCATTGGGCGTTGAATCTCTTAAATACAATGTATCACTTTCCAAATAGTTGCCACCAAATGTTTTCTCTGTTTATTATATTTAAAGAAACTAAATAATGAAGAATCTTCATGAACGTGTGTATGTTTCTCGCACTGGGAAAAAACAACAGTATATAGAGTCATCAAATTATGAATAACATAGTGCTCCACCCGAACATGGGCACCTGGAAGCCCGAAATTGGAGTTTGGGATTGTCTATTTCATATTTTGTAAAGCTTTAACGAATTTTTAATAAAAATCTTAGCAATTTCAAACCGAGCAGTGACAACACTGTAGAGCAGGAGTTCCCAACCTTTTTCTCCCTAAGAATACATTCTAGAATATCTGTTGGACGGCAGTCACCATTTACGTTTACAAGGTGAATTTATAGTTAGATAGAATTAATAATACATGCACATAAAAAAAAAATTGGTCGCATTTCGCGTTTCACTGGTATCTGTGTTGGACGTGATTTCTGTTTCATTAAAAATGAGAAAAATTTCACATAGAATTTTATTTTAATCTTACAGCGGCGGGCACATGTTGAACGATCAGCGGGCGCCATGGCGGGATTTGAGATAGGGAATCCCTGCTGTAAAGAATAAAACGTGCGAGACTGTCTTTAAATTCTAAAGATATGCTGTGTTTAAATATTTTTATATCAAAGTGGCGTTGGCCCAAGTATATGTCTGTAAATGAAAAAAAAAAAAAATATCCCTTTGGGCGTAATATAAAATCTGAAAGTTTTTTTTTAGTCCACAAGGGCAATTTTCCCAGAAGAATATTAATTTCGTTTTGGCATTTTTTGTTGAAATGTCGGTTCACTTTTCAAATTGTTGCCACCATATATTAGAGCCCTGTATTATATTTAAAGAAATTAAATAATGAAGAATATGCATAAATGTATGTATGCTTCTCACACTGTGATAAACAACAATACATAGAACAATCCAATTTTGAATAATGTACGTTTCCACCAGAATATGGGTATCTGGAAGCCCAAATTTGGAATTTTGAATTTGTTTTATTATCTGTTTTATATTTTGTAAAACTTTAACAAACTTTTGATGATCAAATTCAAGGATTTAAAAGCAAGACTATCAACGCTGTGCGGGAAAATAGCGCGCTAGACTGCGTATCAGAAATTCTAAAGATATGCTCTTTTTAAAATTATTTTGCGATAGCTGTTGAAGTGAATTTTATGGTTTAAGTGCGAAGAACATGATATTTAATAAATCAAGGTAAAACACAAAACTTTAAAAAAAGTCCCTTTGACCGTAATGTAAAATCTGAAAGCTTTCAGATTTTTTTTTAAAAATTCGCAATTATAAAAGAAGACTTTTTGTTTTCCACTAAGAAGTTTACAATAACGTGATGATTATATGTGAAAGAAGAACGAAGGCATTTTTCCAATATTTAGTAACTTGTATTTGCAAATAAAACTTAAAAGCACAATCCTCGATAAACAAATGTAAGCCATTGTCTTAAATCAAATATTGCTATAAAACTTTCAAAATATCATACAGCAGTAGAATATTTAATGTTTTTTCGAACTTCAATAATTCTAAGAGTCTTTTAACACCAGAAGATCCGTTAAAATAGTATTAACTGAAAACTGCTCTGGAGTAAATATTTGAAATTATTTTTATTAAGTCCCATGCTAAATTGCATTAAATTCTTCACTAGTTATAATAAAGTAAATCTATTCGTAAAAACAACCACATGAATTTTTATGGTATCTAAGTTTCCTTTCATAAAATTTCAGTATTTTATAATAAATTAAGGAATAGTAGAATAAACTTATATGATTATACTTATATTTATACGTATGTGATGACGTAGAATCGAACGTAAAATCGGTATAATTTTATTTTAATTATTCATCAGTAAATTAAAATATATGGAACTTTCCACTTGTTTTAAAAATTTAAAGAACGAACAGCGACTAAAAAAACTAAATTTTTGTTTATAAGAAAATGACAAATATTTTTACAGGATATTTATAAAAAATTCACATTCATCTTTATTTGAAGACGGACGTATTTCTTTTATATCTTGTATAAGGGAAGTAACATTTACATGCACAGTATTTACGCGCTAGCAAACCAACTTTCCTTTTAATATTATTTTCAAAGGTATCCTCAAAAGACTTTAACATATAATTTGACGATTTGAGTGCTGACAAAAAAATTTTCAGTAATCAGAAACTATCATTAAACGAGTTAAAAAGTAGTCTTTAAATATGCATGTAGAAGGTTTAGATAAAATTCTGTCGAGTTTAGTTAATATTCAGAAAAACTGAATTGTAAACCGAATTATTTTCAGCTTGATGTTTTGCAAACGATAATCATTTAAAAAGCCAGAGACTTGTAAAAGAAAACAATATGAAGCACTTATTTTTTTTTATTTATCTTCAAACTGGTGATTTTTGTTAACAGTATACGAAAAATAGTAATTATCTCTTTATTTAAAAGATAATTTTATGCTGAATAAGTTTAAATCTGAAGTCTTGTTTACAAAATTTAATCATTAATTGCGAAAGGAAAGAAAAAGTTGTAAGGTATTTCGTCTGCTTTTCTAGAGTGCATTCGTGGTGTAGTGGTTCTGCACGCTGGGCCGGTATTCCAGAGGTCCGTGGTTCGATTCCCGGCGAAGGCTGTTGCTAATTTTCCATCTTTCCGGCTTTTCCAATTAGCCTAATGTCTCTACAAAGTACACAACTAAAAAACACAAATGGGATTAAAAAAGAATGAAATGATGTATTTTGACCTGCAGTTAAGCTATTTGAAATTCGTTTTAGCTTTAAACAATGTTTAAAACAAATTCTAAATTTGAAGTTAACAGATATATATTTCAAATTAGCAATGAAACATGACATCAACCTGATAACTAAAGATATAATATTTATACAAATAACATAAGCAATAAAGTTGTTGTATTATTCCACCGCTGTGAATAGCATTTTAAAACTGTGAAAGACCTGGGTTTAAGTATTTTTACAGTTAAATTACTATAGTAAAGAATATGTTTCAAAATATATGCAAATAGCAATTTTTGAAATACCTGAGAGCATCATGGGGTCAAAATCCTCCCCCTTTTTTACATGATCTGATTCTCCCGTTAGAGAACTTTCGTCCACTTTCAAATCGTTGCTCTGAATGATGATTCCATCCGATGGTAAAAGATCCCCTGTAAGAGAACAGCGAATGTCGATTAGTTAAAAACATAATAGAGCACGAACGAAGCAAAGTAAAACAAAATTGGAGTACTAAAGCGAAACTTTTCGAAGATTATTAGATTTTTCTGAGGAGAGGAAAATGATAATACTGATAATAATAATAATAATAATAATAATAATAATAATAATAATAATAATAATAATAATAATAATAATAATAATAATAATAATAACCTCTGTCAGGATTTGAGGCATAGAATGTCCAGTTGCTGTCTATGCTAACCTTACAATCTTACACAACAGCATGCATCAGACAGTGCGATAATTCTCTACAATAAACTCTGCTTTAAGATATAAATATGATTCTTGCTATTTCATATCATTATTTTGCATTACTCATTAAAATAATTTTATTGGAGTTTGGATTCTCCCATTTATTAGCCCAAAGGAACATTGTCTCTGAAGGACTATTGTTTTTGTTTTGCGATTTTGCGTTGAATCACTGTAAATGTCCGTTTCACTTTTCAAACTGTTGCCACCCAATGTTAGAGTCCTGCATTATATTTGAAGAAATTAAATAATGAAAAATATACATAAATGTATGTCTATTTCTCGCATTGTGATAAAACAACGATACATAGAGCCATCGAATTTTGAATGACGTCATCCTCCTACGAATATGGGCATGTGGAAGACCAAATTTGAAATTTGGAATTTGTTTTATTAACGATTTCATATTTTGTAAAACTTTAACCAATTTTTTTTTATCAAACTCAAGGATTTCAAAGCGAGCAATGGCGACACTCTACGGGGCAAAATAACCTTTTAATCTCTAGCGCATGGATTTGTGTATCGGGAGATGATATAAATTTTGTGCATTCTGAGTTAGAAAATGAATTTGTTAAAAAATGACAATGACATGGATGAGATGTGAGTTTCTGTCTTGCGACGACGACTGCTCTTCTTGATTTTTGGTAAATATTATTTTTGCTTCAAAATCGTAAAAAACAACCTTATATTTAGCGTAGGTATAATGAAACACTCAATCGATTTCGAGGGCAGCTAAAGGTCCCTCCTCATCAGGAGAAAGATATACATAGAAAGAAGAAAATAGGAATCACAGAAACACGTGGTGCTTATCAGCACTGCACGTGGTTATAACTAGATTTTTAATCAGAGTTGCACTGGCCGCCTACTTTTACTGAGCCAGGCTGTCTGATCAAGCATAAAGAAATATTAGCGAAGTTAAAATAGGGAGCGAGGGGCAAATGCACATTACGCTCAAAATCTGAACTTCAAATAATGGAAAGCAATTCGCGCGAATTGGATTTTCTTGAGGCTTTTCACATTCACAAAGATTTAGAAAGTTTAGTTAATGATTTGAAGTCCAATCCAGTCCTTCCTAATGCCTTTAAAATTCTACTATCTTAATTCAATTATTTTTGCCGATAGATGGCGTTACCTCCTCGCACTTGGTACTACCAGAGGGTATAAAAATCCGTTCAGTGGTTGCTTTCCATTATTTGAAGTTCAGATTTTGAGCGTAATGTGCATTTGCCCCTCGCTCCCTATTTTAACTTCGCTAATATTTCTTTATGCTTGATCAGACAGCCTGGCTCAGTAAAAGTAGGCGGCCAGTGCAACTCTGATTAAAAATCTAGTTTATAACCACGTGCAGTGCTGATAAGCACCACGTGTTTCTGTGATTCCTATTTTCTTCTTTCTATGTATATCTTTCTCCTGATGAGGAGGGACCTTTAGCTGCCCTCGAAATCGATTGAGTGTTTTCATTATACCTACGCTAAATATAAGGTTGTTTTTTACGATTTTGATTGTCACATTAGCGTGTTTCTCTTCTAGTCTATTATTTTTGCTTGTTCTCCTAGATATGGCCAGTAATAGTGAAGCACCTGATAGGGGCAAAATTCCTTGGCATGCTACTTTCAGCGATTATGACAGCGATAATGATTCTACTTATTCAAATTATTCAAGAAAATCGACTACATTCAAAGAGATGTCTGTAATTGCTTCAGAGACCCGGCGCTTCAAAGCATAATCGCTACTCTAATTTATACTAAGAAAAGCAAATCTCAGAGAAAAGCAGAGAAACCCGCAGGAAGTCCTAAGAAAATAGCAGATAATACTAAGAAATTCAAACTCTCCCCTTCAAATTTTGAAGCAGTAGTTAACAAACACAGAAAAGTTTTTCCTAATTTAACAGATGCTATCTCGCAAGAATTAATACTCAGCTTCCGACTAACCCAAGAGATATCTCACTCAAATTAGAAAACGAAATCGCCGATAAATTAAACTGTGTTGAGTCTTTGAAGACATTAACCTCCCCACCAGCGATAGAAATGCGTTCAAAGTTACAAGAAGAAATTCAACAAAATCAGTTCATTTTAACAAGCATTCAGAACACCCCTCGCAAATTCTAAAAGAGATGATAAAACAATTAATCAGAAAGATTGGCAAACTCAAAAGAAAACAGAGAAAAATTCCTAGTCTATCCCACCACCAGATATTCCGCAAAATAACAGATTTTAAACTCTTAACGAAAATAACGAAGCTATGGAAGTTACAGATGAAACGCAAACGATTACAACACAGAATAACGCAGAACATAAAACGAAAATTCCCCCATTAGTCATTCCAGAAAACGATTGATTGGCCTGAAATAGAGAAAATGCTCCGAGAAATATGTAAAAACGAATTTGAAGTTACAATCAAAGGCCAGACAGATTTTCCTTTACACTACCACAGAAGCCGATTATAAAGTTACAGTTAATAAATTCCAGAAAGCACAGATTAGTTTTCATACGTATCAAATTTCCTCAGCCTCTTCAATTAAAGTTATACTTAAGAATATCCCAAGATGCTACACAGAGCAAGCAATTCATGCAGACTTGGAACGCAGAAGCTTCCCTATAAAGTAAAGCAATTCACGAAGAAAGCAGAAGACCCGTTTACCTATATTTTTCCTTGAACTAAAAAGAAATTCTGCAGGAGAGAAAATTCATCAATTAAAAAATATGTCCGGATTCAATATCACAATAGAAAAATATCAGCCTAGAAAACGCCCAATTCAATGTTTGTTGCCAGGAGTTCGGGCACTCCCAAAATAACTGGTTAAAAAAGTCAGGTGCTGTAAGTGCGGACAAAATCACGGATCCAATACCCTGTAAATTAAAACCAGATGAAAAACCAACTTGCATTTACTGTCACGAAAATCACGTTTCTTTTTATCGTGGTTGTAATGTATACAGAAAAAGATTCAATCATTTAGAAAAAATAGAAAAAACACAAGAAATGCCCACTAAAGATGATTTCCTCGAATTCATTCAAGCTTCAGGCCAAACTAATCAAGAAATGCCTAAAAACCTTTACAGTGACAAAGTTAAGCAGAAAAATCCACAGGAAAATTTAGCAGAAATCATTAACATTTTCAAAGATCCGAAAACCCTTTGTCTCATGAAATCAATAACCACAATAGCTCAAAGAATTAAATCAGCTAAATCAAATATGCAGAAACTTTGTCTAGCTTTCCAAGCCATCGAGATTATTTTGAACTTTGCAGACCAAGTTGAATTCGCAGCTTCTCCCAAGACATGCATAGCCGAGCGGCAGAAATCCTCAAGCTGCAGATCCTCACATAGTGGGGCCACGTTTACTTCTAGAGACTCTGCACTAGGTGCAAAAAGTACGTTCCATCTTACTGATTCAACTCATCATTAAAGACACCCTGCTTATAATATATTGGCAAAGGCCGCACTAGGCCGATTGCCTCTTAATTGTGTTACGACATAGACATAGACATAGACATAGACTGTGTATTCTGGAAATTCTAAAGATATGCTCATTTTAAAATTATTTTGCGACACTGCTATTGAACTGAATTTTATGGTTTAAGTGTAAAGAACATGATATTTAATAATAAAGGTAACACACACACAAAACGTTAAATAACGCCCCTTTGAGCGTAATTTAAAATCTGAAACCTTCAGATTTTTTTTTATTAGTTTATGTGTTCTGTTTAGAAACATAATGTATTTGTTCTCATTTTACGGAAGAGGGTGGTTTCGTGGTTTTCCCCATGTGTAACGTGTATACGATCCAATTTCCCTTAGAAAGTCCTCCACGAAGGCATCCCTCCCCTTAGGCAGATAACCCTAGTGTGCTTTGCCATAATTAAATACACCACACCATTTTTCGGAGGCTTTTAACATCTGATGATCATTTGCTTGCATATATAAGTAGGAATATCGATTTATCTCGAAAATCTTCGTTCTGCATGCAAAATTAACATTATCGAAAAGGTTTAAATTAGCATATAATTATACTATTTTTTAAGTGATACTGGAAATTTGAAAGCAAACTTAAATTATATTTCATGCGAATTTCAACAATTATTAGAGGTAACATGTCAAGAACAATTTGTTCTACTTTAATAACATTTGTGCTCGCTTGTTATGAAATATATTTTAAGATTTAACTAACGGAAGTACTCGATGGCAGTTAAGTTAGATTGAGAGTAATGTATCTAACAACAGAGAGAACGATACCGCTGTAATCCTTCTCTAACAACGGTGCAAAAAATACAATTCATAGTCATATATTTTTCAGTCTGATGCGATACAAAACCCACATAAAAAATTTCGATAGGAAAATTAAAGCTAATTCTCTCTCATTATATCAGCAATAATGGGGCACAATTATTGAATGATTTTTCGTCTTTCTAATCAAATGGTCCGTAAAAGCTCAAGTTCCATCCATTATTTCACCTATATTCAGTTTAAAGTCGATTAAATGTGGCAAAAAAATCATCATAAGTTGATCAGAAATTAATAAGCGCGAACAAATAAACAACACAGACATTCTTCTTTATATAAATAGATTTTGTAAAACTTACAAATTTTGCTTAACAAACTCTGCGGTTTGAAAAGCGAGAAGTAGCAACACTTTTCCGAAATGAAGAATTTTTGTTCCCCAACGGGCGAGATTGTGGCCACTC